CCCCGCGGGCAGTCCGTCCTGTCTCACAGGCTCGCTGCCCCATATCGACTGGAGACGGCAGCAGCTCCCATCGCCGCTGGGACAACGGGCGGGTGAACCTGCGACCAGTGGTGCAGCTGATCGACATCATGAAGGACCTGACACGGCTCTCCCAGGACCTGCAGCACAGCGGTGTGCACTTGGACTGTGGTGGGCTCCGACTCAGCCGCCCACCTGCTCCGCCACCCGGCGACCTGCAGTACAGCTTCTTCTCCTCACCCAGCCTGGCCAACAGCATCCGCAGCCCCGAGGAGCGGGCCACCCCCCACGCCAAGTCCGAGCGGCCCAGCCACCCCCTCTACGAGCCTGAGCCCGAGCCTAGGGACAGTCCCCAGCCCGGCCAAGGCCATAGTCCCGGGGCCACGGCTGCGGCCACCGGTCTGCCCCCGGAGCCCGAGCCAGACGGCCCTGATTATTCAGAGCTCGCCGACGCCGACATCCTCAGTGAGCTGGCCTCCCTTACTTGCCCCGAGGCCCAGCTGCTAGAGGCCCAGGCCCTCGAGCCACCATCGCCTGAGCCGGAGCCTCAGCTTCTGGACCCCCAGCCCCGCTTCCTGGACCCGCAGGCACTAGAGCCGCTAGGGGAAGCTTTGGAGCTGCCACCCCTGCAACCTCTGGCTGATCCTCTGGGGCTGCCGAGCCTGACTCTCCAGGCCCTGGACACCCTGCCTGACTCCCTAGAGTCGCAGCTGCTTGATCCCCAAGCACTCGACCCCCTGCCTAAGTTGCTTGACGTCCCAGGTCGCCGCCTGGAGCCCCAGCAGCCCCTGGGGCACTGCTCACTGGCCGAGCCCTTGCACCTGGACTTGTGCTCACCGCACGGCCCCCCCGGGCCTGAGGGTCACCCCAAGTACGCCTTGCGGCGCACCGATAGACCAAAGATCCTGTGTCGCCGGCGGAAAGCCGGACGGGGCCGCAAGGCAGACGCTGGACCCGAGGGCCGCCTGCTGCCCCTGCCTATGCCCACAGGGCTGGCGGCCGCCCTGGCTGAGCCCCCACCACCGCCTCCTCTACCACCTCCTTCCCTGCCAGGCCCAGGCCCAGTCTCAGAGCTGGAGCCAGAATCTTCCCAGACCCCAGTGGTCCCTACCCGCAAAGGCAAGTGCCGGGGCGTGCGGCGCATGGTGGTGAAGATGGCCAAGATTCCTGTATCACTGGGACGGCGGAACAAGACCACATACAAAGTGTCCTCCTTGAGCAGCAGCCTGAGCGTGGAGGGCAAGGAGCTGGGCCTGCGCGTGTCGGCAGAGCCTACCCCACTGCTGAAGATGAAGAACAACGGGCGGAATGTGGTGGTGGTCTTCCCACCCGGTGAGATGCCCATCATTCTCAAGCGTAAGCGCGGCCGCCCTCCTAAGAACCTGCTGCTGGGACCCGGCAAGCCCAAGGAGCCAACCGTGGTGGCAGCCGAGGCAGCCACAGTGGCAGCAGCCACCATGGCCATGCCAGAGGTGAAGAAAAGACGGCGGCGGAAGCAGAAGCTGGCATCTCCCCAGCCGTCATATGCAGCGGACGCCAATGACAGCAAGGCCGAGTACTCAGACGTCCTCGCCAAGCTGGCCTTCCTGAACCGCCAGAGCCAGTGTGCTGGACGGTGCTCGCCACCCCGCTGCTGGACACCCAGTGAGCCTGAGTCGGTGCACCAGGCCCCTGACACCCAGAGCATTTCCCACTTCCTGCACCGTGTACAAGGCTTCCGGCGGCGTGGGGGCAAAGCAGGCGGTTTCGGTGGCCGGGGTGGGGGCCATGCAGCCAAGGCAGCCCGATGCTCCTTCAGTGACTTCTTTGAGGGCATCGGCAAGAAAAAGAAGGTGGTGGCTGTGGCAGCTGCTGGGATGGGAGGCCCTGGCCTCACCGAGTTGGGACACCCAC